GAATCGACAACTATTGACTCGATCAAGGCATACCACTTCGGGAAATTACTATGTGACTATATCTACGAGAATGCCCCACTAAGGAACAATTCATTTTCTGTATATGCATGATGTGAATGTTGACGAACACTGTAACCCTATTGATTGAAGTATTTATATAACACAACTGTCAAACAGGCCACTTGGCTCACTAGAAATCTACCACTCCAAGGAACCTCCTCACAGAAGAAGACGACCTCAGATGGACGCGTCGAGGCGCCGTTAATACGATCCTTCATATTTACGATCTGGCGATCTCGTAGACATAGATGTTGCCATCAGTGCTACCAGCAAAGAGAGTGTTGCCATCAGCAGACCACGAGATGGAGACAACCCAAGGGAGAGGCGACTTATACTCAGCCGGGGGAGTGATCTCCTCGAGGACGTTCTTAGTCTCGAGATCCCACACCTTGACACCGCCATCAGTAGCAGCACAAAGCCAGTAGTTCTTAGGGGAGAAGCAGAGGGCGTTGATGCTGCTGTTGGCATCGAGGGAGTATAAATGCTTGCCTTCGTTGACATCCCACAACATAGCAACACCATCTTTACCACCGGAAGCGCAGAGGGATCCATCAGGGGAGATGGTCACGTTGTTGAGGACGCCAGTGTGGCCGGCGAGGTTGATACGGAGCTTGCCGTTATCAAGAGACCATACCTTCACGAGCTTATCCCAACCGCAGGAGACGATCAGAGGCTGCTTGGCAGAGGGGGAGAAGCGGACGCAAGAGACCCAGTCAGTGTGTTGGTCATCAACGATGGTGTGACGGCACTCGCCCATGGCGTTCCTGAAAAGAAGGAAAATGCAACTTGCCCACTAACAATTAATCATCGTCCTATTCCGTATTATTACCAGATCTTGATAGACTTATCGCGGCCAGCAGAGACGATCTGCCTGTTATCGGGGGAGAAGGCGACGGAGAAGACATCCGAAGTGTGGCCAACGAAGGTCTGGACGGTCTTACCCGAGGACACATCCCAAAGCCTCAAGGTCTTATCCCAAGACCCAGAGAGGCAGTACTGGGCATCAGAAGACAGAGTAACATCAGAGACGGCCTGGTTGTGACCAGTAAGGGAACGACGAGGGTAGCCAGCAGACTCGGAGTCGTTGGTGAGCTCCCAGATCATGATCTTCTTATCGCGAGAACCGGAGACAACCATCTTGGGATCCTCATACGTAGTGGCGATGGAGGTAACCCAATCAGTATGTCCCTGAAGGACGCCGCGGAACTGTAAATGCTCTTGAGCCATTCTAAGGTGATGACGAGCCAAAAGGAGTGGTGAGCTCTCAGTGGGGGTACTCGAGAACTCGACGATTGACGCAAATCGATCGAGTGATCGATTTAAGAGAGCGCAGCGTGGGACCGAGGAAGAAGAGAGTTGAAGGGGAATATGACTGAGAACATCAATGCAACATGGACACATTACCACATAGGCAATGATGATGTGAGGGTGGCGAGGAAATGCTCGTCGAGAATGAGGGTAACATGAGCGGAGTCAATAGCCTTATTCTGTTGTAGTGAATACAAGAAGGAGGATCCTCACTAGAACCCCCTTAGAGTCATACACTCATTACGACAAAATGGGCGAGGGAGGATCCTCGTAGGATATTCCAAAGCCTATCATAAACAGTCAAGGAGGTGGTCATGTACACCGTAAAGGAAGATAGTGACCAGCAGTGCTCATACTCACAACAACACATCCAACCGCCGTTGGGAGTCTTCATTTGAGATTAGATTATAATCTCTTAGATGCTAAGTCGTTTATTTTTAAAGAAGCAATCTGCCCGAACACGCAGCTCGTCGTCCTCCTCCTCCTTCACGGTTGAGGTATGATCGAGGCCGCCTCACCGATGCAGGAGGTTACTACAAGTGCATTTCCGCGAGCTTATCGATTTATCTATGATCCATCTGTGGGGGAGTCTGTATGACAATCCTTGGGTAGAGCGGTGCAACAAGGAATGGCTTGAAATGAAAGCCAGGGAAAACTTCGAATATAGTACTCGTGATTCTCCTTCCTTCTTTGAAGTACCAGATAACACAACTTAACCGTGTAGGATTATTTCCTTGCAATCATAGCCACAACGGCGTACTCCAAGACATGAGCTTGGCAGAAGGCTCCCGTTTATATAATCAAAATCTTGCTACTGTGTCGAAATCAAATTTCCTCAATTGCACCGTCGAAATTGGAGTTTCTACGGAGTATCTTGGGCATGGACTCGCTCGCCTGGTAAAATAGAAGTTGAGAAGGAGTAGATATATGTAGGGTCTAGGCCTATGTATGTCGTATGCCTTGCTCATTACATACCAATCTCACAGTTAGTTCATTGTTGTGATGTCCGGCAAAGGCAAAGGTGGTCGTGGTGGTGGTAAGTCTGGGAAGAAGGCCTCTGGTTCGAAGACTCGCTCAGCTAAGGCAGGTCTGCAGTTCCCTGTTGGTAGAATAGCCCGCTACCTCAAGAAGGGACGCTATGCTAAACGTATTGGTTCCGGTGCCCCGGTCTACTTGGCTGCAGTCCTCGAATATCTGGTCGCCGAAATCCTCGAGTTGGCTGGTAATGCTGCGCGTGATCATAAGAAGTCTCGAATCATTCCAAGACACATTCAATTGGCGGTCCGCAACGACGAGGAACTGAACAAATTCTTAGCGGGAGTGACCTTAGCTAGTGGTGGTGTACTGCCTAACATTCATACCACTCTACTGCCAAAGAAGAGTAAAGGGAAAGGTATGACTCAATCACAAGAGATGTAACAATTAGTATTTTCATTTTTCATTACTTCAAGAGGTTGAGTTGTTCCTCGGGCTATATGACGTAACTTGCTACTAATTTGCTATCCAAATGCTGTCTACGTTACGCTGTGCTTTCACATCGTCTTAGCAAGTGTCCAGCCTAATGGCGACAGTCCATACCAGTGTGAAGAAATGCCCACATAGTGATCTATGCGGCGTTTTGCAGATATTAAAGTTTCTCGCATTCTTCTACCCTGAATCGTATGTAAATTCCCTTGAAAAAGTTCGGTAGAGGTAACCTGTAAGGTAAGTTGTTATCAAAGATTTTCATGCTACTTTAGGAAGCATGAAAGTCGTGATAAATACGACGATGAGCCTAGCTTGTGTGAATTTCGCATGCTGTTCAAGTAAGCGCTTGAGGAGCATAGGTTGCAGAATTCAATTTCTATTCCATTGCAAGATCGTATTATCAAAAGCCAAGGCCCATGAGCTCAGAAAGGACAATATGATTTGGTCCATGAACGGT